GATTTTCAAAGCACTGGGAATCAAGAGAAGGAAAGAAAGATAAAGATGAAAATGAAGACTCCAAGTAAGAAACAGTCTACAGGAAGTGAGAAAAAAGAAGATAGAGGAGAAGAACCCCCACGCAAAACAAAACCCATGCAAAATAATGTGTATGTTAAAATCTGAGGGATGAAGTGACCACCTTTGTGAGTGACAAGCTGTGGAGGCACGCTGAAGCTCAGGGCTTTGCTGAGGCCAGGCACCTAATGCTGCCAGCTCTCCTAGGCACCCAGAACCCAGTGTGAGGGCTGGCTTCTGTCTCCCCTTGCAGAAGGGGGTGTCAGGGCTCTCCTAGAAAGGGCCCATTTTGTTTTGCTTTCTGATATCAGTTAGTGGCTGCTAGAAGAGATAGAGTGGGTCAAGATATATTTACAAAGCAGGTGAGTGCCACCTAAGGCATGCTCCAAAAAAGTAGTGGGTGTCCCCAGAAATTTCCTACTGGAAGTACAAGACAGGTCAGCCGTGAGACGATCTTGGGCTGCAGAGTGCATGAAATGTGGAGGCACAACAAATATAGTGGGAGGTGCACAGTGCTGCCCTGAGATAAGAGTCAGAGATGGATTTTAGTGGTATGTCACACTAGATGATCACCAGCGATCCCTTGCAACCAACATTTCTGATACAACTGCTCTACTTCCTGGAGCCTTGACCAACCCAACCAAGAAGGTAGGATACGACAAATAGGATCTCACAGCAAAGATGACCAGACATTTGAGGCAGATCCTGCAGTATCTTCCCAGTAACTGGTGCATCATGAGCACAACAGGCATGCTTTGGACCTGTGGCAGGACTGTACTTCTGCAGCTACCTTAGGGGCCTGGACCTTAAAGTTATGAGGTACCTTGTAATGACAGAACTTGTAACTAAAAACTAATACATATTTAGATTGCTTGTACCATACGCACAGAAAATCTGAGTTGTAATGAAACATATGGACCAAAGGCAAAAACGCAAATAAAATTATGTGCTTGATTTGCGGGCATAATAATAGCACAATGACATAAATAAATTGGGAAACTGGGAATCAAATTACATATGCAGCTGTCCATGTGCATGTGCAGTTATTCAGTGTCTATTCAAAGTCTGTGCCCAAACCTCTGCCTGCTAAGCCTTTGCTAGAATAGAGATCGCAATATATCATACAGACCATAAATGAAAGGAACCAAGAAATTCATGCCATCTGTGAATCATTCATTTTACATTTATTCTGACAAGTGACACCAAACTTTTATGAATGTACAAAGCTTTGAGCTCAGCTGACAACTTTGTGACTAATGTAGGAAGTAAGCATGCATGCACCTTTAGTTGCAAGAAATTCTAAACCTTTTTTACTAAAATGCTTTAAAGCATGTAAGCGTTGACTATGTTGGAGTTATACTATTTTTCACTAAGAAACAGATGCATGTAAACCTCAGAGCAAACACTTATGAAGTGACAGAATGGCATATAAATTATGTTTCACACCACATTTTGTAGTGATTAGTGAATAAACTTGTTGAAATATGATGGCTGTGATCCCCACATCAATATTAACATGACGTTAATTGTTTCCCTCCACTGGCTGGTTTGTCACATTTCTATTTTTTCTTGGTATATTATCTCTATGAGGTAAAGTTACGTGACTCAGCTATATTTGTCTGATCCTCCCTGTTTTCATCTCCTTCTGACGTAACTTTTTTATGATGATAATATATCAAACAAGCATGAACTAATTTCTCAGAAAAAATGTACTATTTACAAAAGTTACTGAATAGGGAGACCAGGAACGTCTAAGATACGGCTTTTGTTTCTTAAACAATTAAATAGTCTGGGAACTTTCAACCTCAAGAAAAAGGAGGCGTGTAATAGAGGTATCTAAAAATCCGCAGTGGTACAGGGCAAGTAACAGGAAGCAGTTGTTCAGCATTTCTTAGATTATACAGATTGAGAAACATAAAATGAAACTAGCAGGTAGTAGATTCACAGCAGAGGCAGACAACTCAGAAAGGTTGTGCATATTTAAAGTCTGTTGTGGATGGTTTCAAAGAAATCCGTGGACAAATCCATGGGAAGGAAAACAAAAACAAACAAAAAAAAAACCATGAAAGGGATATTGAATACAAAGGTACCTTTGGCTCATGAGATCCCTGAACACAATTTGCTGCAGTCTGGGAAAGTATCACTATACGTTTGCTCTTTTTCACCCTTTCCAAGGCACCTGCCTCCGGCCTTTACTCTATGTAAGGTAGTGAGCTCACCTAGACATGGACATTGTCATGCTATGCTCTATGTCACTAACATCAAGCTTTAAAAAAAAAATGTAAAATGAAAATGAGACAAAGTCTATCTTCATAAACATTCTGTAGATGTACACTCAAGGTTGGATCTGACCAGCAAATTTCTGTCAAACAATTTTTAGAAATCTAATTTTATTAACAACTCCTTATCCCTTTTCTGAACTCCTGACAAGATGCAAAACTTAACTAATTTAGCCAAACTTCAGCAGGTAACCAGACCTACTGTCAATTGATCTAAACCACAGTTTTGGGGTTATCCTGGAGAATAGATCAATGCCAATATTAAAACAAACAAACAAAACCACCACACACAATTTCAATATTTCTGCTTAATAAAATTAAAGGCTACATTTTTCAAAGAGCTCAGCAGCTGCAAAAGAAGCCACATTTTCAGAGAGCTCGTTTCTCAACGAGACACCAACGTTTTCCAGAGGGCTAAATGCTCAGTGTTCTTTTTGACCTTTTGAAAACCTGGCCTAAACTATACATATTCATTTTCCAGGTGACTTCAAATAAACCATGGCTCAAAATACAATACCATTTAAGAACACAATGTTTCACAATTTGTTCTTCGTACAGCACTCACGTGTATTGTGCTTGCTTATAACTGTGCCTGTAATCAACATTACAGACCGTACCATTCAAAGGACCCACACTGCCTTAAAATCTCTTGCTGGACACAAAAATCTTTATTGTTGTTTTAAAAATATGGCTGCAAGAGATTTTAATCAACTCACTTGCAGACAAAGGAAAGACTATCCCAAATATTTGACACAACTCAGTGTCCTTCAAACTGACCCACATGGTCAAGGCACTTACTAAATTCAGGGAAATTCATTCTTCTGTTTTTCTTGCCATTGTCTCCCACGATCTCTGAACAGATTTAAGAAGTCTTTTTGGCTATACATATGTGTGTGTGTGTGTGTGCATGCTGAATACAGTAAATGGCTTACCGGATCAGAGCCAGAATACATCCAATATAGTACTCTCTCCTTGAGATGGCCACAGAAGATACATCAGAGAAAGAAAACCCCCAGAGTAGGTAAAGATAGGAATACAGGATAATCTGCTGCCATAGAGACTGGATTCTAAATCCCAGGGGTTAGAGTTTACTTTAAATCCTGAAACATGAGTTTTGATACGTATCTCATTAGCCTTTCTTGCTATCACTGGTTGATACAACTGAGGATTCTCGACTGTATAACATCTGAAATTTCTTCTCATCTTGCTGAATTCATGACCTTGGGAATTGTTTGTTAACTCACTGCATTAACCTTTCTATAGGAAAACAGTTTGGGGATTAGAAACTCAGACTAGTTATGTTACTTAAAAAAAAAAAAATTCTTCAAAACGTACATTGCAGATTTATGAAGTGCCAGACATTTTAGTGCATCTTTAAAATCTGGGCTTAGAATATACAGTTACAACAATTTTTAAATCCCTTTTCCCTTCAATACACTTTCCTAACTCCTGTTAAAATGAATAAATATTAGAAGTGCTAACAGAGAGAAGAACAGATTATAGTATTATATAATGTCATATGTATTTCTGCAAAGAAAAGTATCCTCTGATAAAGTAGATGCTAAAGCAACCATTTTGTTTTTATTACAGACAATTTTAAAAATTCAGTTCTTCACCAATGTTGGCAATTTATCAGGACATAACCTGCTGTCAGGTCTTCTCTGTCACTTTTCAAGGACTAATTTACGGTCATATACCTGCCTTGTCCTATCCTGTCCTGTCCTCTCTTCCTCTTTTTTATGTTTTGCAAAGCAGCACAAATGGGACTCTTAAGAGGAATTATCTCACTGTATTAAGAATAATTCTATTTTGGTTCTGACTGCATGATGCAAAAATAACAACTAAAACACCTTGCCCCAGGCAAGGTAGCTAGAGTTATCTGGCTTTTGATTGATTTATAACACAGATAAGTGCCAGTTAAAGGAAGCCAATGGAAGAATATTTTTTCTCCTCAAAATCAAAATATCAGTGCCAAAAGGCAAGCTGGACTGAGGCCTCCATTTCTAATATTGGCATTTTTATTCTCTCACTTCTAAAGCTTCCTCCCAGATTTTGAGTAAGAAGAAACAGCCAAAGCTTAGAAGGAAGGCAAGAACTCCTCCTAGCTGTCCAGTTCCGGGCAAACTAAATCTTAGAGTGTCCCTCACCTTTTCCAGTAAAACATCCTTCTCTTAGTTTTTTTTTTTTTTCCCCTTCCCTCTTAATTTTCCCTGGCTAGAACATATCTACATATGCCTATACCTACATAACATATTATTTATATCTGCAGACATATGCACAACCTTTTGTTGCTTATCACAAAGTCCATAAAGTACTTCCTATCTAAGAAACAGAATAAAGGAGCTTGTATGAGAGATATTCTTAGTCTAAGCCAGCTTCTGAGCTAACACTGGTCTTGCGGGCACTTTCAGATGGCATGTCACAGTTCTGCATAAGGTCATCACTGGACACATGTCCATTCTAATGACATTATCGTTTAAGTGAAACCAACATGGGCAGTTTAGACCTCAGCTTGCAGAAACAAAATAGAGGTGTTGTATGACTGTATATTTCTTTCCAAGGACTGTGTCATGAACATTTCATTACAAATATTGTAGCAGTTAGTGAAGTTATGTTGTGCATTGTTGCAAGCAATCATAAGGCTTTTGTCATGTCTTTTCTTACCAAGTTGCTCTGCTAAATGTTTGCCTCTCTCAGTGAAGATTACCCGCTCATCCTCCATGTCACATTTGTTACCGACCAAAATAACCTGGGCATTATCCCAAGAGTATGTTTTGATTTGAGTTGACCTTAAAAGAGAGACAGAGAGAGAGAGACAGAAGTCAAAGCAAAGCAAATTTCCTTTAAATCAATTTCAAACAGAATTGTAACAAGACAAACAAGGACAACACTGATTTTGACATCCAGGCTAATACGATTCTGTTTAAATCTGGATTTCAAATAAACTAAGGATTACCTGTCAGGAGTTATCATTACAGGAATAATATCACCACAGGCTTTACTTTTGCTTGTTAAAACAAGATAGTCTTTCCAAGTTTTCTCCTGCTATCAGCATTTCTTCCTATATTTTTAGAAAGAAGCTCTGACACTTTCTCCCACACATTAAAGAAAAAATATTTTCACATTTTAAAGTAAACCTTATCATCCAAAACCAGAGCTTTAAAACAAAAATCAACAGCTTATTCATATCTTATCTTTCACCTTTTAAAATTACGATCTAAATTTATCAGCACAACTTCAAAGCCATTCTTTCTTCCTTCTGTTGTTTCTCTCCAGCACGTTCCGCTATAGCTCTTTTATCTAGCAGGATGACAGCAATATTTACATTGTACAGTAAGCCATGGTTGGGGCTGAGTTTGAACTTAAATTTACCTTTCCTTTAAATTATTCAAGCCCTATCCTTGACTACAGCTGAATAGGGGTATCCCAGGTCTTGAAACACTATGAGGACCTCGAGTGCTGCTGGTGAAACAGCTCACCCCACCAAGCTTTCTTTGCAGTTTGAAAGAGATGCAGCTCATGGGCAACTTAGGAGCACGCTCTTAGCGCCTCTCAGCATCTGACTGCCATCACTCTATTGATACTCGGACCCATCTTTAGGAAGAAGGGCTCCACATCCTGGCTCCAGGCCCTATGGGAAGTGATGCTGCTGGCTACTACTTACCAACTGAGAGCAGTACCTGCAATCCAGTGTAAATATAACCTCTATTATCTAAAATACTCTTTGTCTTGCAGAGAATTTTAGCACTATGCCTGGCTTTGGGCTCCCGATGCAAGTACTTTTTAGGATGTTAATATCAATTCACAACCTATACAAACAATGGAGGAGAGAAAGATTTTTCCGGAGGCCAGGGAATAGCAGCTCTCCCCCTCCTTGGACAAGATTAACTACACATTTATGAGAGGAAGCACTGGAAGAGAATTCTGCTGTATATCTGGGCCCTAGATCTGTGTGAGAAAAGACGAAATCTTCTCCAAAAGCTTCAAAAATCTATTGCCCAAGTATTTTGGGAGCTGATCTGAGTGGGTCTGTGGGTAAAAGCTTCTATAGGCAATCTTTGTACCCCAGTGCCAGACGCAGGCCCCCTTGGCATAAGTCAAAGCAGTGTGCTGAAACTCACCTTAAAGCTGCATGTGATGCATCTGCAGTGCAGGTCAGAAGAACATTAAAGGACATGGTCAGACTGACTTTAGGGGTGCTTTGCTTCACCAGGACGACCAAAAAGAAGCTGAAGCAAGCCCCAAGCATTTTTTAGATTCTTCTCTTGGGTCTGCTCTGATCTTTCCTTCCAGGAATGGACACTTTGCTATTCTAAAACTATCTTTAAAAATTATAGTAATTTGAATAGACTATCTTAAGGTACTTTGACCAAAGCAGAGGTTAGAATTCCCTTTACACTTATATTTTACTAAAGATACAATTGCTCAGAAAATAGGGCACCATGAATACCTTTGGGCGGAAATGCACTTTTGGAACCATGCTGGGATCTTACAAAATTTGTGGTTAAACAAAACAGGATTATTATAATTTTTTAATCAGAACAACAATCGTTACCATAGCATCTTTGCAAGTACTAGTAAGTCAAACATAATAGGATGACGCTCTATGAGGGACTCTAAAAGATCTCAGTTTTGATCAGTTATGAGCTGGGGTACAATTGGTACAGCTTATGCCAGCAGTTAACTGAAGATGTTTCAGAAACAAAACAGAGTAAAAATATTAGGTTTCACTGAAGGAATTAATTGTACTTCTGCATTTTCTGCAAAACTTAAATCCTGAAGAAATATAACCTGAAGAAGTATCATCTCACTACTGTAAAGAGGATTCATTCAGCCTTATTTTGCAGCTGTGTGCTCCACAGACCTTACTTGAGTTTCTTTGCTTAAGAATGCAAAATCCTTCATTTTAATGCAGCCAGCTGCAATTTTCATTCCATGAATTGTGAACCTGTGAATTCAAATGCTTCTCATTAGCAGAGCTAGTTATTTCATTCTTAGAATTTTTAATCTGGTTTGCTTATGTCTCATCTTCTAGGTATAAGGATTTTTTTTTTCCAGGCAACAAGGGAAGAGTTCGTGTTCTTGATAATGATTCCAAAGGCTCGTGGTTTGTAAATGACTCTGTAGTGCAAAAAATACAACTGAATCACTGTGAGAAATCAGTCAAATATATCCCCACCCAATCCTACACCAGTAGGAAATCTGATTCAAATAATTTAATAGGCTTACTATTGTTATGTTTTCTTTTTGACAAACATTTACACTAATGGCTTCTATAGATTTTTTTTCCACATTTCTCCACAAAAGCCAAAACAGAGGCCAGATTTTGTTGACTCTTGCATATGTGACTGAGGCTTCTGACTAATCCAAAACACATAACATTGTCCTCATAAAGAACTTTAGCCTAAGGAAGACTGAAGACATTAAAAGGCAAAGCTGATGTTTGCAGTAAGCTGAATATGCTAATTTTTGTTCAATCTCACTGATCTGGTGCATGTCAATAGGAATTTACCCTGTAAATCTTACACTCTCTATTTGTATTGCAGGCGGGCAATCTGCAACATGCTTGAATTTTTATAACGTATAGACACCAGAGAGGCAGATTAATGCAGCAGTCCAGTCATCCATTATTTTCAGTGATCAACGCAAGACTTGTTCTCCCCATCCTGCGATTCCACCATGCTCCCTACCAGAGAAGAACACTTGCTGAACGTCAGCTAAGGCAGTGCTATTTTGTCGTCTAAAACCAGTACTGTATTCTGCAGTAACAGTTCAAAGTACTACAAAGCTACATCAATGAATCACCAAAGAGTTTTGGGCTGTTATAGCACAAGAGTCTCAAACATAATATGGAGACTTATTTCTCTGTTTAATGGAATGAAATAACCTGCGAAGAACTGCTCAGAAGGCAGTTTTGTAATTCTACTTTTTTAAAAATAAAACCTAAAGGAATGAAGACGATAAACAGGTCACACTGGCATAGGACCGTACTGAAGACGATAAACAGGTCACACTGGCACACCACCATAGGACACATTGCTCACATTCTACCTAGATCCACTCCTAGGAAATGCTTTGTAGTACTTGCTAGTTTACAAGATATTCTCCTGAAAATATTGCTTATTACACCAATAGAGTATGACAAGATTTTGTATTGCTATTACTTCTAACACTGACATTTACTGAAGGAGAGAATAATACCAGTGTTGCCTAGGCAAAGTTTGCCACTGTTACCTCATCTTTTATGAGCACAAAGCTTTCAAAGTGAATATCACAATGCATACGGTGAATACATCATTATAAAGACCAAAGACACCATTAGCACAGGCTTCCCCTCCAAGTCTGCCAAAGAAAAATTAAACATCAATTCTAGTTGTAACCAAGCATAGTGAAAAGTACCTCCATGGAAGAGGTGAAATAGCAATTAAAAGGTCTATAATGCAGTGTATTGTGTTTCAGGAAAAGGTCAGATAAGACCTAAAAGGCCTAAGTCTTTTTTCAGGTAAGATTCTGCATGAGGTCTATAAAAGATTCAGCTGAATAAAGCACTTAGCTTTAGAAAGGAGACTGAAACCAATCATTAAAGAACCAACATTTCAAAAAAAGCAGGAGACCTACCCGGCATGCAGCAGTATGCCCCCAACCTCTGCACATGCACCAATTTAAAAAAATTATCCAGATAACTATGATGTTTGTGTAGGCAGGTTATAGGGAATATCTGCACAGCACGATGCAGTGTGGTTCAAAAACATCCAGCCCGAGCTGGCTGAGGTAGCTGAGATGCTGGAAGCCAAGCAAGCTAGCTAGCACAGAGCAATATCGTAGTGCTGCTGTGGCGGTTAGCTTTGTCCAAGGTAACTTGTTCAGGCTTAACTCGAGTATGTACCTGGCAGCGTGGCATGCAGAAGTTGCTATGGAGAGCAAACAAGCCACTTGTTATACTTTATACATTTCAAGTTGCACCCATTGCGTGGCATACATTAAGGTGTACTAGGAACACATTCCCAGAGTGTGGAATGTGTTATAACTCATATAATAGTTTCCAGAATACATATAGCTACTCTAACCTGGAGTAGTCTCTAGCACATTCTTATCCATAGACAGTAAACAAAGAAACAAACATTTAGCTCTGTTAGATAAAGATGAGTCTGCGCAGTACATATCTCTCAGGAAAATGAATTTTAGCAACAGTTGTAATCTATGCACTAAAAGTTGGCCCCAGATCCCTCCAAGGATTGCTACAATCTCTGCAATGGTTAGTTTCTATGGGCTTTTTAGATATGCGCTGATAGCAGAGAATCACCCTAATGAAAGTGCTCTAGAGGGGACCATGAATAATGCTTATTCCAGCAAGTTCAGAGAACGTGTTGTACTTCCGATGTGCTGGTTTCAGCAAGGAGTAGGCAATTAACTGGAATGCAGCATCTGGCCAGGAGAAAAAAAAAAAAAAAAAAAGAGCAAATAATCCCCTCCCAACTCAAAACCAAAATCTTTTTATTTCTTGAAGCTACTGTTGCGCTAAGCTCACTGGTTGTCCTTAAAAATTCTCTCATCTCTGTCTCCAGTATGATGCTTCAAAAGCTCATTCCTGGAGTGTCAGGGGCTGTGGTAGATTCCAGATTATCTTTTTTTAAAACTTTTCCAGTTATCTGAGTTTTTGCGGAAAGGGAGTTTCAGATAAGCATCAATGAGTTTGGAGGTTTGTCCAAAAGTATGCAGTTGAACTTCCTTCCTTTATTTGTAGTTGAGAGTGCAGAATGGCTGGCTACCTTGGAGCAGGAAGGCCTAC